GTTTATCAACCTGGAGGCTCCAGGATTTCCCCGTTTTTGCACATGGAGTGAATTTTCAGCGTGAACTTGGTGAGATCTGAGCGGGAATCACACCTGGGAGAGGTGTCTGTGCCATCCACAGCTCCCTGTTGGACCACGTGGATGCACTGGGGGATGTCAAGCAGGGATGGCACCGAAACCAGTTCAATTTTCACAGCACAGTCACCTCGTGTCCTGTGAGAGCTCCTGAGGTGCTTGTCCCATATCCCAGATATCCCCACACACTCCAGCATTCCTGGACAGGTACACACTGACACATTCCTCTCAGAACAGTGGCAGGATGGGCTGGCACAGCCAGTCCTGGGGTCTCTCCGTGCCTTGTGGGGTCTGTGCCCTGAGGAGTGTGGTCAGGGGATGGGTGGGTGCTCCTGTGAGGCCTGGGGGGATCAGGGGAAATTTGGGAATGGAGGGTGGAGTGGGAACTGTAGGTGCCCAGGTGAGTGTCCATGGGGAAGGGGAGAGTCCCAGCAAGGTTTTGAGGTGCAAGGTTTGGGGCCATGAGGAAGGGAGGGGGTGGTGGAAGGAGCAAGTGTCCAGGTGGATGTCTGTCTGGAGCGGGATTGGTCCATGGAGTAGGAGAAGGTGTCCATGGGGAAGGAGCAGGTGTCAGTGTGGGGGTCCAGGAGGAAGGACCTGTTATCCACGTGGGTGTCCATGGGGAAGGAGTGAGTGTCAGTGTGGGGGTCCATGAGGAAGGACCTGTTATCCACGTGGGTGTCCATGGGGAAGGAGAACAGGTGCTCATGGAGGAAGACACAGGTGTCCAGGTGGGTGACAGCAGAGGTGACAGCAGGGAAAGAGGGATTTCCATGGGGGTGTCAGTGCGAAAGGAGGGGCTGGCAGGGAAGCAGAGGGGTGTCTGTGGAGGTGTTGGCATGGAATCTGGGGTGTCCATGGGGCTGCCAGTGGGGAAGGAGGGGTGTCCCTGGTGGAACTTGGTGGAAGGGGGGGGTGTTGGGGAAGGAGAGGTGTCCGTGAGGGTGTTGGTAGGGAAGAAGGGATGTCTGTGATGTCTGTTGGGATGTCAGTGGGGAAGGAGGGGTGTCCATGGAGGAACTTGAGTGTAAAGAGGGGTGTTGATGGGTTAGAAAAGGTGTCTGTGGGGAAGAAGGGGTGCCCTTGTGGAGGTTGACAGGGAAGCAGGGGTGACTGTGTGGAAGCTGGGGTGTCCTTGGGGATATCGATGGCGAAGCAGGGATGTCAGTAGGGAAGCAGAGGTGTCCGTGTGGGTGTCAATAGGGAAGCAGAGGTGTCAGTGGAGGTGCCGCTGGAGGCCAGGGGGGTGTGGGCAGCTCTCTCCGCCCCCCCGCCGCCGCTTTGCATAGGAGCGCGGCTCGTCCCGGCCCCCCCGCCCTCCATAAAAGCCGGCGGGGCGGTGGCGGCCGCACCAGCCCGGCCATGCTGCAGAGCCCGCCGCGCCCCCGGCCCGGCCCGCCGCCCTCCAAGACCCCCTTCCACATCGAAGCGCTCCTCGCCCGGGACCCGCCGCGCCGCGGCCCCGCCGCCTCCATCCCGTCCATCACCTCCATCCCGTCCATCGCCTCCATCCCGTCCATCGCCTCCATCCCGTCCATCCCCTCCATCCCGTCCATCCCGCCGCCCCCGCGCTGGCCCGCGGCGGGACCCGCTCCGGGAGCAGGAGCCGGCCCGGGAGCGGGGCTGGGGCCGCTGCCCGGCGGGTGGGGCTGGGGCTGGGGCTGGGGAGGTGCAGGTGAGCGAGGGGGCCCGGCCGGGGCAGCGGGTGCGTGTTGGGGATGCTGCGGGTGGAACCGGGATGCGGGGACACCTTCCCGCCGGACTCTCGGCTGGCACTGGGAAATGGTGCGGTTTGGGTCACCCCAAATCGCTTTATTCCCCTCACTGCGGTTGTATTTTAATTCCCTGCAGCCTCTGGACCAGCCCCGAGGTGAAGCGTTGGGTTGGGGCTGTGGGACGTGGAGGAGAGAGAGGGAAAACTTTCCTTAAGAGTTATTTTCCCCCGCTGTAAGAGATGGATATAGCGAGAGCAAAAACGAACTTTTTAATCTGTTGGGGATTCTTTTTTTTATGCTGCAGGGCAATTTCTAACACGCTTGATTTCTCTTGATAAAGAGCCTGTGGTTAACTCCTAAAAGACGCTACAGGATTTTACTAATCCATCAACCAGCTCCGAGTCGGAAACTCGTGCAGAATATCCAAATGCGCTGTTTACATTTGAAACGGAGACATAAACTTGGCAGAATTTGAATAATAAATATAAAGTGGCAGAGCTAAAAAGAGTATTGCTGATCTAGTGGAAGGAGTCCCTGCCCATGGCAGGGGCTGGGAAGTGGATGATCCGTAAGGTCCCTTCCAACCCAAACCAGTCTGTGGTTCTGTGATATTCCGATTTATCCCCATGATTAAATGTTTGGGTGCAGTGAGACCCCGGTGACACCATTTACATCCCTCAGGCTTGGATGGTTTCAGGTCGGGAACAGTCCCCCCATGGCCACGTGTGTCCCCACCTGTATTTTACACAAGTGGCTTTTATTTATCTTTTCACACTGGCTTTTATTTCTCTTTTCATATATCAGAAGGGCACTTCACTGCCTTTGTCCTCATCACACCTCCAAAAAACTGCTGTAATTTCCCAAAGCCTCACTCCCCGAACTCATTTCTCCACCTCTGCTGCTACGTGGGTCCTTCTTCTCCCAAAATCTGCCCTCATCCCTCCCTTATTTTGCTTTCCCTTCAATTTTTCACTCACAGAAGTGAAAATGTAGAGTGTCTGGGAGCACCTGGCCCTAAAAGTTCATATTTTACTGCAAAAGCATCTGAGGATAAAGGTATTATTGTTCTGTGGGTAAAATTTACACGGTGGTGATGGGTGATACCGACTGATCCATCAAGCTCTATTTTAAGGGTAACTTTATAAGCAAACTGACTAATTCATTTTAGCAAAATACCTCTATTCAGAATATTTTTCATGAAATTAAGTTGTTTTTTTTGTTTTTTTTTTTTTTTTTAACATTCAGAGTGTAATCTTGTTGTTGTCCAGGCAAAACCTGCAGCCAGGCCTGCATTTTTTGTGTACAAGGAACTCCTGATTCAGTCCTGATTTTAAAATATTTAGACACCAAAAATATTTTTAATCTTTTTTTTTTTTTACCTATTTAGCATAACTATTTAATATATTATTTCTTTCACGAGGCAGCATTTGCACAATGGCGTTAATCTCTGTATTATATCAAACACACGGGTATGAAAACACAGTTAAACAATCGGCAAAGCTATTTCCACACAGCATTTCAAGTTGGAAATTACACTTGCTATTATCCCAGTATGAAAATAGCGGGGAAGGAAAAAAAAAAAAAAGTGACGGGTGAAATGATTTTAATGATGAAAATAGTTTTAAGTGCAATTACAGCTGTTAAGCTGTCAGGTCTCCATCCCACAAATCCTTAAACACACGCAGAACTTACACCTAATTAATGGAAATAAGTAGGTCAAGGTGCTGGTTTGTGCCTGGAGAATGTGACAACATCAGTCATTAAAGGAGAGATAAGTAGCAGGGTGTGAATTGGGATCATTATGTGTGCAGCATTTCCATAAAAGTTGAAGAAACTTGGCTTGCCACAATATTTGGAACAGCAGTGATGGGGAGCATTAATGGCCTGATCCTGCCAATTGCTTTCCACGTGGAAATTCCCCTTTGGTTGTTACTCCTGGGTTATTTTAAAGTCAATCCAGTGGAATCACCTGGGCAGGCAGGTCATGGGATCACAGAATGGTTCGGGTTGAAAGGGATTTTAAAGGATCAACCCCTCTGCAGTGAGCAGGGACCTCAACTGGATCAGGATGAGGGAATTAGAAAGGAGAGAAGCCACCGCTCTCAGTCAGGTGCCAGCTGGTCCCCTGGTGTTGTATTGTATGTTAATTTATGGTAATTATAATTATCCTGAGGCCAGTGCTAGACAGGAGACAAGAGACCAGATCCACTAATTCCTCTGCACACTGGGAACTTTTCTGGGACCAGGGAAGCAGGATGAGGTCCTGGACACTGATTCCCTGTGCCAAGGGAAGGGTAAAATCAGGGCCCAGTCTAGAGTAAAATCCCCCAAACTTTAAACATTCGTGACTTGGGCCTTCTTGAGACAGATGGGATTTTTGTGTTCTGCAGCTCTTGATGGATTTTATTATCCTGTTACAAAAATCCTCTGTGGGTGGAGGCCAAATCCTGCTCCCCTCACTGAGGGTCGATTTCTTTGGGTCTGGCTGCATGTCCAGGTGGTACTTGAGAGTAAAATCACAGGTCCCCAAAAGACCATCTGCTCCAACCTTTCCTGGGAAAGGAAGCCTGGATGAGATTATCTAGGTCAGGACAGGGCAGGGACATCCCTGCTTTTTTTGGTGCTACTTTCCCCTGGCTCTTGTGACGAAAACCCCTTCAATTTTCGCTGCTTTCTCGCAGGTCTGGAGTTGTCTCACTGTGTCGGGACCAACTCTCTGGGTCCTGTCGGGCCTTGGAGGCTGGGGGGGCCCTGCAAGATGAAGAGGGTCCGCACTGTCTTCAAGCCAGAGCAGCTGGAGCGGCTGGAGCAGGAGTTCCTCAAGCAGCAGTACATGGTGGGCACGGAGCGAGTGGACCTGGCTGCGACTCTGCACCTCACGGAGACTCAGGTAAGGACTGGGTGGCACCAATCCTGGGTCTGCTCTGGGCCGGTTTTCCCGCTGGGAAGTGCAGCGGGAGGAGGACACGATGCAAAGTGACCCGTGGGACTCCCTGCTGCAAGATGGCATGGAAAGGATGTGCCTGGAGAGATGGGTTTGGATGGTTCATGGATGAGATTTCTTAATCCATGAAGCGGAACAAAAAGCATTCAGGAGCACAAACCTGCTATGCTTTAGAGTTGGAGCTGAGTTGGACTCATGGATCTGTGTTGTTTAGGTCCTCTGGGGACAGTTTGTGCTTTGTGTGTCCTTTTATTTATTATTGTTATTTTCCTGCTCTTCCCAATAAGTTCCTGCCCTTCCCAAAGCAAGTTGCTTGTTTATTGTGGAAAGAAGGAGGCAGGTGATCTTCCATGGTGGGGTCTAAATTCAGCTGGGGAAAAAGGAGAGCAAAGCCAGGGTGATTCTGGGGGCACAAGGGGTGTTTTGGGGTCTCATCATGCCCTCTGGCAGCTGCAGTCCTGGGAATGGGTCCAGTGGCTCCTTAGGGAGCTGCTTCCTTCACTCTCCTGGCCAGAGGTTCCTCAGTGCAGCTGCATCCCCATCTCTCCTGATCCTATTCCCAGTACTGCTCTGCCCTCCACAGCATCACCTCCTCCTGCTCTCATTCACTGTTCCCTGAGCAAAGAAAGGGCACGTCCCCATTTTTAAGGAACTCTTTTTGGGAACATCTTCCTCGGAAGCACGTGGCATTGGAAACGTGCTCCCGGAGGCCTCGGATTAAGCTGTTCCATGTCCCTGCCAGGTGAAAGTCTGGTTCCAGAACCGGAGGATCAAGTGGAGGAAGCAGAGCATGGAGCAGAAGGCGGCAAAGCTGTCCCAGTTTGGGGTGATCCAGCCTGCGACCGCCGACTCCACGGACATCAAGGACCACGAGAAGGACACCGTGGACGTGGAGCTTTGAGCAGCTGAGACTGAGCTGCCACTGCTGGTTTTTGATGCCTGGGGCCGTGTCTGTGCTGCTTTGGTCCAAGAGAGACATTACCCTCTCGATCCGAGAGCTGGAGCTACAGGACTAAAATGCAGCTGGTGGGGAGGAACCCACCCCAAACTTATTTGGCTGCTCTTCGGTAGCCATGTGCTGTAATTCCTGGGGCTTCTTCACCAGGCTGGTTGTGCTTGATGGCAGGTGATCTCCTGTTTGCTCTTGGAGCACCAGGACACAGTTTCAAGCAGAGAGTGACAATCAGAGGGTGTCTCTGACGGTTGGGTGGCAATCAGTGTCTCTGATGCTGGGGGTGACAATTCTCCCTGATGGCTTTTCCTGGTTAACTTGACTCCCCTGTTTGATGCTTAGATCATAACCAAAAACACCCCAAAATTGGAAAGCCCTTTGCTCCCACCCACAACGCTCCTGCTATAAGATGATCAGGGTCTTTCCAGGGTCTTTCTGCCCCTGGAACAGAAGTGCCTCCTCTTGGCAGTGCCTTGGTGTATTTGTGCCTTTTTTTTTTGGCTTCTCAAACCCGGAAGGAGAACCCAGTGGTCTCTCCCTCTCCTGGCATTGCCTTCCTTGGCCAAGGTGTCCCTGTGCTGCAGGGAATGAGGCACTGGAGCCCCGGCCAAGGTGTGGGGACGGGGGGGCTGCTGTAAAAAGCAGCTTTCCAACACCTCTGGTGCCTCAGACGACCCCCTGCCCCTCGTCCAGATGTGCTGGTTCTGCCCAGACGGCAACTGCTCTGTTCTCTCCTCATTATCCACCCAGGTGCCATGGGAAACAGCACCTGGAGCGTTCGGGGAGCACATCTGTAAGGGCCCGATGTAGTTAACAGCTGGATTTCTGGTGGCTGGGAGGGCTTGGAGGGGTCAGGACTAATGTCTGCCCAGGGTACCAACCAATCCAGTCAGCTCAGGATAATTTATTCCTTCTCTTTCTGTCCCAGAACACTGTATATCACTTTACTCTTCTATTGTTATTTATAAAAGCTGTTTTTTTTTCTTTCCTTAATAAGTGCCATTTATTTATTTGCTTTGTTTCTTCATAAAAGTTGAGCGTGTTTTTTAAAAAGAGAGATGGAAAGGGTGTTGAAAAACACATTTCCAACTACTCACTTTAATTTTCAGTTGAAATTATTAACAAAAAAGTTAAACCCAATGTTATTTTCATCCTTCTCAAAAATGTTTGAGGATTTTTTTTCTTTATTAAAATGTTTTGAACAAAATATATGGTAAAGAATTTTTCCTTTAATTGGTTGATGACCCCATATTATGGGTGAAAGTAATTAACATAAGTTATTATCTCTGGGCTGGTTCCTGCAGAGATAAAACTACATTTGCAGTAGGAAAGGTAGTGTCTGGTGAGCATGGGGTGCTCAGATGGAGCTGTGGCTCCTAGAGAACAAGGACCTGTGTCTGCAGGTGGATGTGGCCAAACCTTCTCTGCTGAGGGGCTGGAGCATGTTCAGAGAAGGGCAATGGAGCTGGAAAAAGGGTCTGGAGAACAAGGAGCAGCTGAGAAAGCTGGGGGAGCTCAGCCTGGAGAAAAGGAGGCTCAGGAGGGACCTTTTCACTCTACAGTTCCCTGACAGGAGGATAGAGCCAGGTGGGGGTCGGGCTCTGCTCCCAGGGAACAAGAGACAGAGTAATCACAGAATTATTTAAGTTGGAAAAGACCTCCAAGATCATCGAGTCCAACTGGTGACCGATCCATGTCAATTAGACCAGAGCACTGAGTGCCACATCCAGTCATTCCTTGAACACTTCCACAATGGTGACTCCAGCACATCCCTGGGCAGTCCTTTCCATGAATAAATCACTGAGGAAACAGTCTCAGGTTGTGCTAGGAAAGGTTTAGATTGGATACTAAGGAAAATTCCTTCATGGAAAGGGGTTGTCTGGCTTTGTTGTTGTCTGGCTCCACCACCCAGGGAGGTGGTGGAGTCCCCGTCCCTGGAGGGATTTAATAGCCATGTGGATGTGGCACTTGGGAACATGGGTTAGTGGTGGCCTTGGCAGTGCTGGTGGACTCGATGATCTTAGAAGGCTTTTCCCACATAAATATTCTCTGATTCTATGAAAATATAATTATAGCAGGAGTCAGGGCAGCATTGATCCACCTGTGGCTCGATCCTTGTAGCCCCCTGCCATGGGCACTGTGAGATGGGGCTGTGGCTGGCACAGCCCACCACTGGCTTCGCTGGGACCAGATCCCACCTTACGGCCAGGAAAGGTGTCACTGGCAGCCTGTTTGTCCCTGTTTGTCCCTTGTCACCTGGCTGGGGACTGGAGAGGTGTTACCGGGACAATGGGACAATGCCCAGCCCAGCTGCTGCCACGCTGGGCATGGAGGTGGCAGCTCCAGCCTTGCCCCCACCCTGTCATGTCCCCGCCACGGGCCGACAGTGACATCTAGTGACACCAAAACACTCCAAAAAGCCCCGAGTATGGAATCATCCCAAATTCCCAACCCGGTTCCCGCCACCTGGTCCTCGAGGAGCGGGGCTAAAAGCCTGAGGGATGTGAATCAGTAAATACAACCAAACCCGCGTTTTGGTGGATTTTAGGCTTTGCAGACCACCAAGCAGGAGGCAGCAGGAGAAGAATGGCCACTTTAGCGTGTTTTGAAGGTTGTTTTTTTTTTGGGGGGGGGGAAATCGTGCCAATTTTGGGTGCGCAGTGCAGTGGGCGATTCCTCCTCTCCCTATGAGGGGGCACCCCCTCCTGTGAGGGGAGACCTTGTGTTCCTGCCTGATAGGGCTGTGATGGCTATTCCCCTGCCATTAAAGAATAATAATAATTAACAGAGTCGGCATTAAAGGTTTTTTTGGGAAAGTCTGGTCAGTTTTGGGTGCGCAGGGCAGCGGGAGATTCCTTCTCGCCCTGTGAGGGGGCACCTCGCGGTCCCACCTGAGAGAGCTGCGACGGCTATTCCTCTACCACCAAATAATAACAATTAATAAGGGGGAGGCAGCAAAACTCTTTTACGATTTGG